CAAAAAACGAAACCATGAATACACGATACTTTGTATTCTCACACTGTGTGCTTCCTTCTACTCCACAGTAATGATAAGAACAATGTGTGTTCTAATACGGATATCCCAGAAATCTCATTGAGTGTAACTATTTGCCTGAATATAATAGAGCAAAACAACGCAGATAAAGAGAAGAAATAAGATCCATTGTTTCATTTCTCCTCTTCTCTCTATGCTTTCTCTGTGCTGTCTGCCAGGTGCAAAGACAGAGCTTCTAACAATGATTGACAGGGAGTTAAAATGGAGGTGCCCAGTTACAGGATAAAGAGGAGTGAATTTCTACACTTAATATTATTAATATTCATTTTCACACCTCACAAAAATATATTAGTTATATATCAGGATAAGCAAACGTAATACTACATTTCTTTGGAAGTGAAATTTTTTCCTTTAAATGATCCCAGCAGAAAAATATACAGTGTAACCAAGATGTAATAAATGTATAAAAATAGCACTAATAATGATAAAAGTGCCACTATACTTGCAATTGAAGTATACAATATAATAGAAAATTGCAGCTTACAATTTGGAACAATCACGCAGTGATGTAGCACACAGCTGTTACAACTAACCAGATTATTGTTAAGATTTAAAAATTTGTTTCTTGATAGGTCTAGCTAACAAATCTTTTTTGAAATCGCATAACTGACCACCTGTCGGCGTGAACTGATGATAACCCTCACCTCTCCTATCTACTTTTTAACTTTTCCCAGAATAGCTCCTGACTTTGTTACTATGGTAGCTTGGTATTTACGTGTCGAAGGACCAAGCCTGCAGATGAAGAGATTGCTATGACAATTGGACCGATTTTTATCTCTTTAAAGGAATACTGTAGCGTTAGGAATACATATCTGCATTCTTTTACACCACAGCCCTATTGCCCCTTATCAGTTAGGTGCCCCCTCTTTTATTCACGGCATGTGTTCCTTTTGTTGCTGTCAGGAAGTTTTTCTGAGAGTGGCCCGATTTTATAGAGCCCATTTGGCCAGACACAGGGGCTTGGTGCTGTAATTCTAACGCTTTGACCTCCACTATTGCTATCAGATCCGGCCTTCACTTTACTGTCTCGGATTTATGGGGAGTTGTTTCTGTTATATCGGGAAGTCAGTGGGGAAGCAAGCCCCGAGTCGGGTATCTAAAGGGACTTGATTATCGAGCGCAAATATTAGAGCTGATCTTGGGCTTTACAGCTAGTAAGTAGTTAACACTACAAGACGTTATATTATAGCTGCAGTGTTTATACTGTGCATCTTGTTTTGCATTTTATTATGCTCTGTACATGAAAAGTTGTCATAAGTGCAAACCTTTTTTTTTTTTCTCTTCACTTGATGATCCCCAGCGGCTGATACCCACATTGTTATTATTTTTGTGTCATAGTTTCTCCTGGTATTTAGTGCAATGTATTTATTATACATTGTTTTTTTTACGTAATTATTTTCTTGATCTGCACTATTATTGCTATTTGTTTTTATTTTTCATGCAAAACACTGTTACATGGATATCAGCTGATAAGTATAAGTTTTTTCACTTTTCTGACTGGGGGGGGGGATGAGTCACTTTCTTGAGAGTAGTTCTGCTTACTTATTCAATTTATTTATATTACTATTATTTATATCACTTAGTAGTATTGTATTTGTGGAGAACTGTCTGGTACTATTATTTAGTGTTAACAATTAACATTCCTTTGTGTATACAACTCAATGTGCAGATTTCCATTTTTTATCCATTATTTGAGCTTATCTTCTTCTTCTGCTTAGCAGATTTAGTAGCTATACGTTAATGAAAACATGCCTGTATTTGATTATATATTTCTTCTTTGGGGTTATGTCTAAAAACACTTCTCAAAAGCTGCAGATCTATTGTCTGAAGCCTTTGCATGCCCTCCCCTTCTAACCCCGCCAAGACCTTCTGTGGCTGTCCAATCACAGACTTCCCAGTGTGGCTCAATGATAAGTCTTTGCAAGGCAGGTGCTCAGAGCAATTGTTGCCTCTTGAGTTTAGCTCCACTGAGCTAACCAAACCAGGAAGTAACAGGATCATGACTTTGCAGGAGACAGGGAGGTAACAGCACAAAGGTTGCCTCGGCAATAAAAAAAAAGGGTGAGTGAAACTTTAATGTTTAGGTTTGTATTCCTAACGCTATAGTATTGTTTTAAACACCGGTGTGATTTGAAAACATAAATCTTGTGGTTTCTAAGCTTGAAATATAATGTGCGGTTATAAAACTAAATATATATTGTGACTTAATGTCTCAGGTTTAAAACTGAAAGTGACCTTGCAGAGGTTATAAGGAAAAAAATAGCTTCAATTGTCTCGAACGTCTCATTAAGCCCCGCACGACTCCCAGCAATTTTAAACAGAAGATAAAATCAGCAATATAGTTTTAAAAAGAGATCTAGATTTGTGGTTTTCAATCCTTTAAGAAAGTAGGAGAAAAAAATATATGGATGTCTGACGTGCACACTTCAATTAAATAATCTCTCCAAAGAAAATTAAGACAATATCATTATCATAGATAACTTGACAAAGCAGTTTTGCTGCTTTTGATAAAAAGAAAATCATATTTTAGGTACATTTAACATAACAAAAGTAATACATATATATATATATATATATATATATATATATATGAATAAATGAATGAGTAACTTCTATACGAGTCAGCTCGAAATTAGAATAATTCACTTCTTTTTTCTTTTCCCTCTTTTCTTCATCACAGAGTTTTTTTAGTCCAGTAAATATAAACATAGTACAAATTAGCAAAATTGAACAAACTAAATTGTTCCAAATTTTGAAAGTGGTGGGTTTGGCTAAAAATGTTAAATTCTGTGGGGACTATAAATAAATGTATAGATTGACTGCAAAGTCATAATATTTGAAACAGACTATTTGAATTTTGAAGAGCTTTGCACCAGAAACGAGGTGGAGATTTGTTTTAATGTTTGTAAATTAATTTTATAAATTGACAAAATTGATTCAGTGATTTTACGATTTGAGGAGATATGGAGTGAGTCGGCTGCTTAGTGCACAACAGAGCATTTTAGAAAGGTAAGGAAAATATTTTTATTGCTAAAGAAACCTAATCTAAGAAATATTTTCAGATCTCCCTATCCTTTGTTTCCCTTATTGAATTAATTGTAAATTTGGGATTTCAAATATTAACTAGTGATAGTAGACAAGTGGAACACTCCAAACACCTTTATCTATTAGAAGTCTTTCACGTGCTAGGCGTGACTTACTGGACATCATCATCAAATAAGATCTTCTGGAACTTAGAATGGTTAATTGATGGCGTTGCTATGATTGACAGATTTAACTGCTTACCATCTGAATCCATTACTTCTTTAACAGATAGGTCTTTTAGCGGTGGCAAATGATGACAAGATGTTTGTAGAACTTAACATGCTTGTCTTTCCAAACCTGATTCCTCATTTTAAGGTATTAAGCCTACTTAAAACTCATATGGGGTTGGGAACAACTCTTATGCATTTTACTCCAACTTTTCAAAACGTTTCTAATGAATCATTGTTGATTTTTAAGTAGAACTTCTTTAAATAGTGGGCAAGAAGAAAAATTATGGCATAATTTGAGAGCCTTCTGATGTCACATTAATTGACCTCGTATCTCTCAAGTGTAAATGAATGGCGTCAAGCAGAAGTGCTTGCTCTCAGACAGTCAACAAAGATGTAATGTTTTGACCAAGGACAATTAAGTCCCCTTCCTGAGGCATGCTCTGAGTTCCCAGGACCAGATTTCTAGGATATGTGGCATACATATATCAATGTTGCAGCTTAGACATCTTGAGCTGTGACCCAACTTTTCTCTTTTGGGTTGAAAGCTTACCAATCAGTCAAATACTGTAGAAAATTCCATTATCAGAAGGATTCCAGTATCTCGTGGAGTTTGCATATTTCCATGAACTTGTACAGGACAAGGAGACACTTAGTTTGAGGAAACAATATACATTTTTAAAGGTTTTAGTCTGGATATTTGTGTGAATCTTGAAGACCTAGGACATGGATAAAATATAGTAAAACATGTTCACGCATTTAAGAATATTGAATTGGCCAATCTTCTAATAATACATTGGAAGCTTGATGTAGATGGAAATTCCTGGCAGATTTCAGTGGAGGAAGCAGAGTTTGTTTTTGTTTTTTTATCCAGAATGCTCTTATGACTTCGGCTAGGTATATGGAGAAGAGACCAGAGGGACTCTCTCAAGGAGCAAGTAAATCTTTTAAATTATTTTGCTAATGGAATGTTAATGTTAAATGATGAATGAAAGTGTGTGAGCATCAAAGAAGAACAAGCATTGGAGACAGCTTTGAGGCTGGTTGTTGAATGTCAGTTCAACCAATGGAAATAACTGTACTTGATTTAATGTAAAAAAAAAATAAAAAAAAATTACAAATACGTTGGATTAATGGTAAAGAACTGGTGTCTTACTAGATCTACACAAAACCGGACAAAGAAGTATTTCACTAATCTCAACATGATAGATGGCTATTCAATAATGCTAAAATGTGCTCATATTTGTTATGCTCGTCAACATGATTTTCTTATCAACTAAATGCTTGGGTATGGTTAGTTTGCCTCTAGTTCAGTTCCCAAGCCAAATTGAATAGTAAATTCACAGAAGGCTCCTAATCGTAGGCAGCCCAGGAGTAGTCCACACTCAGAGATATGAGAAAATAACTTGGGAAGGGAGGAAGCTGTACAGTTAAAGCTATGGTCTTTTCATTTATTTTTTAAATGTATTTCAATATTTTGATAAATGTAATAACTGAATATTAGCTTTACAACTTGTTAAAATTTTAGTATAAGAATCCATTTTAATGTAAAATTCTTTATGGGTTAAAAATAAATAAATAAAACCATGTTAACATAAGAAATGTCCCGCAGATAATGAAAAAAAAATGTAAAGCATTACAGACAAGAACAAGACTACAGGCAATAAACACCACGAGTTTCACAGGTTTATTTATTTTACAAATATAACCAGAATTGCATCAAATGAAAATGAAGCTCAGCACAATGTACTCCTACAAGACTGTACAGAAAAATGAACAAACCTTAACCCCTTAAGGACACGACGTGTGTGACATGTCATGATTCCCTTTTATTCAAGAAGTTTGGTCCTTAAGGGGTTAAAGCTCAATGAGTTACAGACTCAACTTTTACTGAAATTAGGCTAAACCAAAGCAGCTTTTAGGTAGTTTTGGAACTATCAACTCAGCTAGTCTCACAGATACAGTTTGAAATAGTTCACTTATCTTAGTAACTGAGAGTCATTAATGGCTTCAATCTTGCAGTACTGGTTTGATCCTATACTAGATGTATCCTTCCAATATACCAAAACTAAGTGTATACGCTTACTAAAGAAAGAGGGAATACTTCAATGTGAAATGACAACACAATAGAAAGAGTGGAAAAATATATTCAATTGTTAAATGTGCATTCAGTTGTCAACACTCCACAGCTCACATCAATCCGTAAGTACATCATTTTGGTTTCCATGAGAACTGTACCACATCTAGCACTTCACTTTTTAGAAATACAGTCTGTAGGAACTCGTTAGCATGGCTGCTTAGCTTTTCTCATTTATTAAGAGTACACTCTAGAGTGCAGTCTAGAGTTCTTCCCATTTGGGAACAAGGGCTTTATTAAACTCTTGTTCATCTTTCTGCGTCTGGTCAGTTGTGAGAGCTTAATTGCTTTATTTAGTATGTCTTTCACATACTGGATAGAATGGTTAATTAATGATTTCTCGATGACTGGCAGATTTTCCTGATGCTGTTCCTAATCTATTACTTCTTCAACAGACAGGGCATTTGGTGGTGGCAAGTGATGGCTAGATCTTTGTACAAACATGTTTGCCAGTTTCCATACTTCATCCGCTAAGGTAAATATATCGCACATCTTAGGCAATAATTCTGGTACCTAAATCTCACATGGGGTTCAGAAGAACTCTTATGCATTTAGTTGCAACTTTACAAAAATCTCTACATTTCAATTCTTGTTGATTTCCATAGCAGGTCTTTTTAAGAATTTAACTGAAAATGGTGAAAATGATTGCATATCAATTATGACGAAATATATTTGGACAGCCTTGTACATGTTTGCTTGGAAATATGTGTAGAATTGTATATGTTAAATGTAATAAACATACAAGTATTTAAATGGATTACTAAAATTATTCTAATAAAGACATGCTCCTTCAATAAACAAGCATCAGTTTAAACATACTATTAAAAGCTAAAGGCACATGAGGAGATAAACATCCATTCGGCATTAGTTATATCTAACCCAAATCAGTCATTTTCCAAATTAGGGTTGGGTTGACAGTAAATTTCTTAGTGAAGGAAGGAGGTGAGTAATGCATTTTTTTTCTCCAATCTGACAATCACATGATTAATGTGTTAATGAAGGAAAAAAAGGTATAGTATATAACCCCTACAGTAAGATACCATTGACCCATTCTCTAAATGGCCAGTTCTCTTAGATGACAAGATGGTACTCAACCAAAATTTTTAAAAATAATTTTACGACTTTTCCATATTGGCTTAACAATGAAGTGCATTCATTTGTCAACTCTGTGGTAAACAGACCCCTTAAGCGTGTAAAATGGAAAATAGCAGAATTGGAATTCACAGCATAGTAAAAATAAACTGTAATCTCTAAGGTAGACTGACCAGATATATCCTTTAGGCTACAATGGTTCTAGCTAATGTATGCTATGGGGCTATAGCCATAACAGAGTGTATTTCTTAAAAGCATTCACCCATGAAGGAGAAATCTGGCCACCCTACTCTAAGGCTATGTGTTGTTTTTATAAACCAACGGCAGATATAATTAAGGGTATATATTCATTATATTTTTCGTGGTGATTTTAGGGATGAAAAATGGTTGACTGTTGCATTTAATAGAGGATTTGTTTCAGTGCATCTTACACAAACTATCCAGTAGTAAGTTTTAGAACGGTTGTAGACTGCTCAGATTTAGAGGAATATTCAGATGCTGCCCACTTGCCTCCACAATCCTCGACATTGTAAATGGTGCACATTCCAGCCAATAGGAAATTAGAATATGCAAACATGGTGGAGATACAAAATATCTGGAAAAGTAATCCAACAACTTTAACTCCTGTTCAATATATTATACTCACATCTTACTTTACTTTTTGTTAGTCCGCAGTACTGTGGACTAAATTAAAGTATTATAGAGCAGTCAAATCACTGATAGAAGTAACTACATCATATTTATAATCTCTCTACATAATACTAAACCCAACTATTTTCATCACATAATTACGATTTGGCATCTGCATGTTACAAATGGAAATAAGGTTATGTTCTAAAATTTGCAAAAGCAATTTGATTTCCACATACATTATCACAATATTTTGACAAGGCAATACAGAGAATGTGAGTAATAGCTTAACCACTCTTTCGCAGGAGGTAGAGGCTCCAACTGGACTCTGGAACCACGTTTACAGATGGGGCATGGGTCACACAGATAGATCCAAAAGTGCTGGCTTTTAAATTTATCTTAAAAGTATTAATTGTTTAGAACAATCCTAACCAATTTTTTTTTTTTATTATTATTTATTTTTGGAGCGCAGTGTCAGATACATGCTTAAGTAATGACATATGACAAAGTATAAAACGACTTATAAGTATAGAAAGAGTTGCTGGGATTTTTTTTTTTGTCAGAAGTAAGCAGACTTAAAGGACCACTATAGGCACCCAGACCACTTCAGCTTAATGAAGAGGTCTGGGTGCCAGTTCCAGCTAGGTTTAACCCTTTTTTCTATAAACATAGCAGTTTCAGAGAAACTTCTATGTTTATATTAGGGTTAATCCAGCCTCTAGTGGCTGTCTCATTGACAGCCGCTAGAGGCGCTTGCGTGCTTCTCACTGTGATTTTAACAGTGAGAAGACGCCAGCGTCCATAGGAAAGCATTGTGACTGGCTGAATGCTCTTGCCGCGCATGCAGCCGAGGAGGAGAGCTCCCCACCCGGCGCTGGAGAAAGAGGTAAGTTTAACCCCTTCCTCACCCTAGAGCCCGGCGGGAGGGGGACCCTGAGGGTGGGGGCACCCTCAGGGCAGTATAGTGCCAGGAAAACGAGTATGTTTTCCTGGCACTATAGTGGTCCTTTAACATTCTCGTCTAGGTACTTGAAACCATCAAGATTACATCTATAGTAAAATACTAGACATAGTGAGAGGTAAGAAGAGACATGCCTTGAGTATCAGACTAGGTAAGACAATAGTATACCAACTGGTATGGCATAGATGCCACATGTGACGAGACCAATCTCGCCACATTGCATTGGAGAAGCCTGGTTGCTCGCCTGTTGCTTTTGGACTATGGCCCCATGTTAAAAGCCTTCTTGCTTCTGCATTCGGTCATTTAACCGGATGCCTGTTCATTCAGTAGTTAAACCGTATGAACAGCATTACCCCAGATAGCCATCCCATGGAGTCTATTCGTATGGAGAACAGACTTTGTGAACACTTTAACTCCACGGCGATTGGACTGTGTGCATAGGATCTGAGCGCTATTCGGTACTTTTGTGCGCTCAGATCGAAGCTATCTGGGGATAGGTAGAATGTATATGTTTTGTGCAACAGTTGTAACTTTATACATTGTTATGTCTTTTACTGCCATGTGGTTAATGGAGTTTTGCCTCTGTCCTGGGAGATAATTGGATTACTTCCCAATTATCTCCAGGACAGAGGGAAGGAAGTTAGGATGCATTGTGGGGATGTTTTACCTCTATGTGTCTGTCATTGATTCACGTCTGTCCTTTGTCACAGTCTCCCATTTGGTCCCCTACGGGAGTGTCCACCAGGTGGGAGACCTGCATAAATACTGGGCAAGTAGCCCTCATTAAACCTGACCACTGCTTGACCCTCAACACGGAGCTCTGTCTCATCTTTGGGGGGGGATTTACTGTGTGCCGATAGAGACTGATTGCTAGGAGCGTAAGCCGCTTGGGTGCTTTTCCTATTCGTCTGCTAGCAGCTATTCGTGAGGTTTCAGTTCGGGAGTTTGGAGTGCTATTTTGAATGCAGTTCGGGAGTTTGCAGCTGTGCCTGTATCTCTGGAAGGGGAAGATCTTCTAAACGGCGGTTTAACCCTTTTAGGCTGAGGGTGCCGTTACACCGCATAACAAATGATATAGTCAAAACATAACAGGAAAACCACCTGTACTGCACTCTCTCGATTAGGACAGCAGAGCTGGAAACCAAAAATAAAAGTCAAACTTCAGAAATAGGATCATTGCATACAGTTCTGTTTAAGAAAAAACAGGAACAAGGAGATGTCAGATAGTAAACTGGAGTCACTTAAAGGGACACTATAGTCACCAGAACAACTACAGCTTATTGTATTTGTTCTGGTGAGTATAATCATTCCCTTCAGGCTTTTTGCTGTAAACATGGTCTTTTCAGAAAGAATGCAGTGTTTACATTACAGCCTAGTGATAACTCCACTGGCCACTCCTCGGATGGCTGCTAGAGCTGCTTCCTATCTCAGTCTTGCCTAGTTTGAATCACAACATTCAGTAGCTCCTCCCTCTGCATGCAGACACTGAACTTTCCTCATAGAGATTGATTGATTGGCCAGGGCTGTGTTTGAATTGTGTTGGCTCTTCCCCTAATTTGCCTCCTTGACAGTCTCAGCCAATTCGATGTGGAAGTATTGTGATTGGCTCAGAACAACACTTCTGATGATCTCAGCAGGCAACAGACAGTTTCACAGGCAAGCAGGGGCAGAACCAGCAGCTTCAGGCTTGAATACAAGTAAGATTTTACTATATTTAGGGAGGCAAGAGAGGGCCAGGGGGGCTAGATGGTGGTTTTTAACACTATAGGGTCAGAAATATAGGTTTGTGTTCCAGACCTTATAGTGCTCCTTTAAGAGAAACAGGCTATTAGCCCTTGTAGCCCAGAAAATTTTCGGACACTTCTGCATCTTGGGGTCTCAAGGATGTGACTGCAAGGAGCCGGATCCACCAGATCTCGGACAGGCAGCCTGGTTATGAAGGCAAGTGAGGGAAGTGGCACGCTGAGGCGCCTCTCCAGCTCCAGGCCTCCTCATAACGTGGACTCTGCTTAGAGAGTCCCTCCAATAGTGGAAGCCTCAGATGGTCCGGAAGTTCCACCGCCGGCATGTGATCTTCCAGTGAGGTGGTTGGTGCTGTAGGGATAGACCCCTGATAGCCTTTGGTTTAGGCAGGCGGGCAACAGAGGTAATTGGCGCTGGGGAAAAGGCTGCACCCAGGAGGGGCCTGCTCTGCCCTGTGCTCAGATGCCCCCATACCTCCATCTGAGGTTCATGCCGCGTCGGGATCTTGGGCTTCTCCCAAGTCTGCCCAGAAGTGTCTAAGCGCCTGAGAGACTGCTTCACCATGCAATGGTAATCTCCGCTGGATTGCACAGGAGGGTGCTTCGGAATGAGTGGCGCATCCACCATTTTGCGGAGACCTGTGTCTCTGATTTTGTGTGTGCCTGTGCGTTTGTCTAGAAGCAATAGAGAGGAGTGCTTTGAGCTAGTGGGGAACGGAATGACCCACCACCAGTCCACAGGGGAAGGAACGTGGCAGCAAAGAGTCCTCAGAGTATTTGTGGGGCTTATACCGGGAGATCGGCCGCCTCTCCCAGGAAAAAGGCCTCTAGTCGTGCTAGGCCGCAGGACCTCTTGAATCACACACCAAAGGATGGTGTAATCACTGGCGGATCCAGGGGGGGGGGGCAACGGGGCAATTGCCCCCCCCCGAGAAATCCGCCGGTCTCCCTCTCCCTCCCCTGCCAGCACATGCACGCGCTAGCCCTGCAATGTGCCTGCAGACCGGAGGGGAGATCAGAGATCTCCCTCCCCGGTCCGCAGGCACTGTGCTGACAGCCGGCGGCGGAGGGAGAGGGAGGACCCGGGAGCTCAGTCTGCAGCTCCTCCGGGTCCTCCTCTTGCGAGATTTGGAGCGTTGCCGCGGTTACCGCGGCAACGCTCCAAATCTCGCGAGAGTGAACTCTAGCCCTGGAGCGCGGGCTAGAGTTCACTGTAACCACTGGGACCAACAGGGAATCACCACTGGGACCACCAGGGATCGAAATATGTCCCCCCTCCTCCCCAGCAAAGGTAAGAAGGGAGGGGGGACATAGAATATTTGTTTTTTTAATTAAAGATATATATTATAAAAAAAAAGCCCCCTACCCTTAAAACACACACACACACACAGCCCCCATACACATACTGCCCCCATACACACATACTGCCCCCCATATAAACACACACTACCCCCATACACATACTGCCCCCATACACACGCTGCCCCCCCATACACACATACTGACCCCCATGCTGCCCCCCATACACACACACTGCCCACATTCACACACACACTGCAACTGTTACACACACACATACTGTCCCACACATACACTGCCCCCCCTACTCACACACTACAACCTTCACACACACACTGCACCCCTTACACATTGCACCCCTTACACATTGCACCACTCACACACACCACTGCTCCTATGCCCTACTACCGCCCCATTTCCCAGCAGACCTCAGGTAAGTTGTCAAACTGTTCTTAAACGGTTTGACTACTTACTCTAGGAGGGGGTCCCGGCACTATTGACACCATAACCACTACACTGAGCTGTAGTAGTTATTGTGTCTGGATTATTTCTTTAAATAATCTACAAGTGCCCCTCCCGAGATCAGGCTCTGGATCCGCCACTTGATGTAATCTGCCTATGAGGTGTAACAGACTATGTAGAGGTTGTTCTGCTGACGGTTGTAGTCGGTTGCTTAGAATTTCATGGGGTATTTTCCATCAAATTGGCTCCATTACTCTGTAGCGACAGAGAAATGCATCCATCCATCCATCCTAGGCATCAGGCCCCACCCCCCTAACCAAGTCTTAAAGGGACTTATTGGGCATTAAAACTTCTACAGCTTCATGTTTTGACAAATGTAAACATTGTAATTTGTGAAAAATGGCAACGTATTAATTAGTCGCTTCTCACAAACGGCACAGGGACACTTCCTCAAGAAGACATCCAATCCGTGAAAGTCTTCAAGTTCAACATCACACTACTTCTCTCATAGAACACTGCATTCAATGTTTCTCTATGTAAAGCAGCACAATGCCTGAGATGTGACACACTGGCCCAAAGCTTCTGTATGAGAAGTCCCAGATTGTCCAAGAACAGTCAGGGCGATCTTAGTACGGTACAACTGCAGTTGCCAGAAAAGTAGAATATATTCTGAGCTTTTTTAGAGCATTTTTTTTTTTTTTAAACTTGAATAAGAGTTGGAAACAGTATAGAGAGGAAGATTCCAATTTTACAAGCAACAATATTTAATGTGTCAGTGTTCCTTTAAAGGAACACTCAGCACCATAACAACTACAGCACACAGATAAGAAGTCAAATTGTTCTAAAACAGTTTGACTACTTCATCTTAAGGTAGTGGTTTTGGTACAAAGATGCGGTCCCTTTTGTCTGCAATGTAAAAACTTTTAAAAGCCATTTCTGATAAGGTCTCAATGGTCTTCACGTTCTGCACCATAATACTTTGTGATGGATACAATCCTTCTCTATAAGAGACATTGTATTTTCAATGTGTGGCAGTCCTTCCCCAATGCTTCTCTATTAAAAAAACAAAAGCATTGGACAGGCCAAGACCATTAGTTTTGATACTCTCACAGAAGGCAAAGTGAGGACTGCCAGGACACACTGTGCTGAAATAAAGGCAAGTTTCACAGCTGTTTTAGGGGCTCATCAACACAGCCTTGGTATGCTAGACATACACAGAGACAACATGCAGAGCTTTACCATTACTATGCAATTGCTCTGAGTATTTCAGCAGCGTTTTCTTACCATATCAATTTATGGGGTGTACGTTCTTCCCTCTTTAGCTTAAACCCTTAAGGACACATGATATGTTTGACATGTCATGATTCCCTTTTATTCCAGAAATTTGGTCTTTGGGGTTAAAGAAATCGAGGACTATCAAGCTACAAAGGAAAGCTAAGCACCTTCATATACTGATATTCCCCAAAATAATTATACAATTCAATGAGTGGCAGGTACCATTTCACCTCCACTAGTGCCAGAAAATCACACATCTGGGACTTAAAAAGATTAATGCTCTTGGGAAAAACTAAAACTACTATGAAATCTAAAGCACATCTGCAGTAGTATTGCAGTTTCTTTGAAGTGTCCAATGGAATGCAGAAATGCATGCAATCTTGCGGAAAAGTCTGGTTTTGCACAAACAGCCTCTGTAATTATTTTAAAGGAACACTCCAAGCACAATAGACACGACATCTTAATGTAGTGGCTATGGTGGCAGGAGAAGCCTGGTGTCCTCCCAGGATAAGCAATGACACCATTTATGACCCGGGGTCTGCCAGGTGCCGGTTGGTTCCACCTCTTCTGCTGTTGGAAGTGTAGCACTGAGCGACGGCCAGCAGTGCAGGGTTCAGCTCAGTTGCGGAGAGTGTTCAGCTGACTCTTTTAGACAATGAGTCAGTCATGCATGGCCGAAGCAGGGGCTCTTAGAATGAACTTCCAAAACTAGTCGATGATTTGACTACAGAATTTCAGGACACAACTGCCACCATAACCACCACTGTTAGCTGTGCAGGTTATGGTGCTTAGAATGTTCCTTTAAAAACAAGATAATATATTATACAAATATATTTAGTGAGACACACTAGGACCAATCTCTGCAATTTTAAAGTTTTCTTAACACTGTGCAGAATATACAGGGCAAAATGCACCTTTTTGTGGCAGAAGATCTGATTTACTTGGTAAGTGGTTGGTCATGAGCCAAATATAAAGCTGTTAAAAAGTGGTGGAGATGTTCGGAAATAGAGTGGGGTGAATGGACACATTGACAAGCTACTTCCGCCAACTTACCGTAAGTGCCTTACACTGTCCTATAGTCTTGGTTATTAACCCAGAAATCAGGAAGCAAAACAAAGTTAGTATATATGGAACAAACTCCATAATTATGGACAGTTCAACAGTATTCTAAAGATGCAACATATAGTTCCTTATTATTCTGGTTACGCCATCCTCGTATTCCAATAGTCAATTCATGGTACTTGAAAAGAACAGGCAATTAAGCATCATTCTACAGACACAGGGAAACAGGACATTTACATTTTCATGGTAGAGAAATCACTAAATTGCACATCGCACACATCCAGGGATGTCTATTAGAACCACATGCATTTTTCCCTAACATGTTAAAAGGTAATTATAAACATTAATGGAGAACATTGACTTTAGTCAGGGATAAATAAACAGAAAAGTAATTGGGGTCTATTGTCTGCAAATAACATAGGTTTATTAATAGCAGTGACACTAAATTCCAATTAAATATATATATTATACTAAATGTATACAAATAGATTAAATCAGGGAAGATAGCACACTGTGTTGTGTATGTACTAAACTATTTTGGGAGAAAAAGGATCTTTTCTTTTTTTACTTTATGCATCTACCAACCATTAATTCGGGGAGGTAAAGATATAAATCATGCTTAATTTTTTATTTTTGAATTTTTTTTATTTTATTTATTTTTTTTAACTACTGCCATTTTGAGTCTGTAAAACCGTTGTTCAAACACCAAAAAAAACAAACAAAAAATAAACTGAAAAATGCTCTTTTCCACAAATGTATTTGTATATCTGAACCATAAAATGATCAATTTTATTTTAAAACAAAAAACACATTTTTTCCTTATTTTCTCTACGGAGTACAGACCCCTCCCACCCCAGATTAGCCAATTGAAGAGGTCCACTACCTTTGCAGGACCTGCGTAGCTGCTAGAAGAGATACCGGTAGGTACACTTACTGGAAAATGAAATGCTATTTGAATGCATTGAGTCCTTTCAGTATTTTTCTGGGTGATCATTTTCAGTTTTGCTACACTGCAAAAGCAGCAAAATAAGGTTAATTTTTGAATAGAATGTATTCGCCTTTAGTGCATGTCGTTATATGCAAACAAGAGACAATCAGTGCAATTATCCAACTCTCTGCTCCGTGTACACAATCCTTCTCCAATTTCACGAACGTTGCTTAACGCAAATTGAACAGTTACTGCCACATTGCCAAAAAATACACACAAAACAAATGCAGAGAGACACTGTTTAATATGCTACTACACTATATCAACCAGGAAGCAGTTTAAAGAATCCATCAGTTTTCCTTGTCTGAGTACTCAGAAGCAGGCCTAACAGAGCTATAACAATATTTTAACACACTTGTTTTGAGTCACAATGTAGACAGATAATGTGGCTTTATTACTTTGATGTTATCTTTATATATATTGTTTTTTCTTTTACAAAGCACCATTAATAACCGGAAGCTCCTTCTGTATTTTTATGGAGTGTTCATTTTTGTTTTTGCATAAAAATAACACAAAAGAAGGTGGAGTTATTGCAGACAATTATCTAACCATCATTTAGTCAAAATACATTTTAGGAAACCTATTTCCCACTCAAAAAAAAACAAAAAAAAAAAATTATTTAAAAAAAAAAAAAATTGCACGCTAACCACAGATGTAATAACACATTTTAAAGTCTAACATTGAAATGAAAATAGAAAATATTTGTAATAGGCATACAAATCGCTACTTCAAAAAGCCCAACATAATACCTGCTTTTTTGGGGAGGGTGCGGGAGGGGGGTGGGGGAGGAGAGAAACCTTTCCAAATGTTGTCAATGTCAATCAAAGGGGTCAGCTTACATTCACCGCAAATGGTATTTAAGACTGTTCCAAATTGTCCATAAATGCATTTCTGAGCTAAAGTGCTATAAATCTGCTTTAATTTTCAGACATTGTGCGCCTGATTTCAATTTTGCTCGAATAGGATGATGTGATATTATCAGGAGCCAATTTTCCCCTTCTAAATAAAAGGGCACAATCACCATTTCCACAGGCGCTTTCACAAGAAAACCTACAATTTGGTTTAAGAGAAGGCAGAATTTCTTTTTAAAGCTCAGCATTAAGATCGTATTTTTGTGATGTTAGGAATAAAATATATATAATAAAAAAAAAAAACAAAAAAAAAAAACTAAGAGTAAAATTTATCAAACATTCTACCAAAACCTGCAATGCTTTATGATGCATTAATTTAATGCTTAACTATGCAGCAAGTGAACTATACACTCTGGTTCATAGTTTATTTTGTAACAGTTTAAATTTTTTAACTTTTTCTTTTCTTCTTTGTTTTTTTTTTTTTTTTTAACACAAGGCAGATATGCCTACGTATAAATGCAACAGACTAATATATCCTTCACAACAGTTATATGAATTTCACATTAATTTCACAGAAATGTAATGCATCTACTGTTCAGCTAATCAGCTAACAGGAGGTGAGCATTATGACACGGCAGATGTCTGTGAACTACATTTCCCATGATGCTCTACCCATGTTAGCCACCACAGCAGGATGTGCTTCAGGTGAGAAAGTTACACCTTTCTTTTGATGGAAATCCCAAATTTAACATTCCATCCACACTACTATTCAGAAAATGGACCAGTGCCTTTATTTCCTTCCCAGATAGGTCATGCAAAATTTGGGAACAAGAACAACGTTTACAAAGCACTCTGGGTCAACTCACAATGAGGGCAGGCCGATAAAGATGGGCACCTGCCAAAACTAAAAGCGTTCATGGCAAATGGGAACATACAACGCCATCTAATATCCGCTTCATTTTTCTTGCAGTAGAGCAGGGATGTTTATGTTCCATCCTATGGCCTGCCGATCAAATCCACAAGTGAAGAGATTGCAAGTTGGATGGTCTTCACTCCAAGCAGAACAGCAAACCATTCTACGGTGGCCCTGAAATATTACAAAATCATAACAGAACTTAGTAATGGAATTGTCACACTCAGATGTTTGTTACTATGCTACGTACCTACAGAATTAAATTGGGAAACTCTGATTTCTAGGTATAAGCTATGATTTAGAAAGTGATTGGTTAATTCCCATGACAGTGTTTGCCTGTAGAGATGTCGCGAACCGTTCACGAACTTCCCGCGAACGGCTCGCCGCGAGCTCCGGTCAGCTGACACATCCCGGCCAATCTCCAGCAGACCCTCCCACCTCCAGGCCAGCATCCATGTTGAAGCTGCCTTCAACATGGATGCTGTCCAGGAGGTGGGAGGGTCTGCTGGAGATTGGCCGGGATGTGTCAGCTGACCGGAGCTCGCCACGAACCGCGGCGAGCCGTTCGCGGAAAGTTCGCGACATCTCTATTTGCCTGTTTTATTGTGGCATGGTCTTTATCTGGGGACTTTTCAGAATTTGTAAAGACCCCAGATGGTGACATTGCTGCTGGCCCTCCATAGATACACAGCTGGGAGAGTGACACTCTTAGAAGGCAGCAGCTCCACCCAGTGTCTAAAAGAGTCCGGCATAGGAAAAATACTGAGACAAAGTAGTCCCTATAACTTTTCACTGGTTGGAATTTCAGTGAAAGTCCAACACAGTCAGTATGAGTATTTAATAAAGATTTTATCTTATGAAATACTCATTTTGTAGGGAGGTGACAGTGCTAGTTTAAGATGTTCCTAATAATTATGTTTTGATTTTTTTCTCTGGATTTTTGTTGGAAGATCACATTACAGATGGAAAAAATCTGACACGATGCAATTTAATAAAGCTGTGCAGACTTTTTATATCTACTGTACATTGACACCAAACATGATTAAGTCACATAAGTTACATTTCGTAACCTATAAAAAAATAAAATAAGTTTATAGCCAACACATCAATTAACTTAAATTCCCCAAAATATATATCTATCTATTAACCAGATGTCTGTACAAAAGGTTTATTATTTTTTTTTTGGACAACACCGGACATGGAGACTGAAAAGGGGAACTTCTTATTTAGGATGGCATTGCCTTTACCTGTCTGTTGCTGCGTGGAAGCCGCGCTAATCGAACTCCTGACATGTCAAATAGTCGAACTTGTCGATTGTCATGGGGCAGGGCGATGATTTTTTGGCCAACAGAGACGCTTATCCTGCAAAATACGAGCATTAAATATTTCAATATGGAATGCGGACAACAGGCTATGTATTCTAATTTTCATAGGTCAGCTATATCACACAAAGGACAGCAATCACAGCAGTTTGACTTGCAGAGCTGTGATCGAACTTAAAATTGTGTCTTAAACCTACGCAACCTCTAGCAGGCAAAGATCAACAGAAGGACTTTTCTTCCTGCTGCAGAGTTTAGATTATTGAATAGTAAGATTATTACATTCCTGCTACTGAGCCCATATTACATAAAGGCTGCCTGCTACGTCCTGCTTGTGAGCCTACTTTGTGCAGAACCCAAATAGCACAATGTAAAGACGGCATGCCACTTCCTGCTCAGAATGGGACTATCCAGATTGAAACACTACTGTTAAAAGCTATGGTGAACAAATTAATACAAAGATGGAGCCTTTTAAAGTGGGCAGAGTTAGCTCTTACAGGGTTGTTCACTAAAAAGAAAATGTAAAATTTAATGTAAAAATAACAAAATTGGAAATACTTTCTAAGCCAGAGATGCTTCCATTTCAGCTACTTGGGTCTAAAATTTGAAATTCAACTTGAAGTCTCCCTTTAGTGAGTAAGCCTTGTCGGCAGTGTTCCTTTAAGGAATACAGGTTTGGCCCGAAAATGCCATCATTGTGTTGTCAAAACAAATAAGACTTGTAAACCATTCAACACTGCAGTTTTTGTAATAAATACAATGAAATTGTGCTAAGAAATGCATATCAGTCAAGTGATCTCAGACTCGAGTGATAAATGGAAAAACGTGTTTGCTAACAGCAAGCCCAGCACATTACATAATGTTTCAGCTCATTCACTTGTCTTATTTCACACTTGTGAATTCTTGGCTGGAGAAAGAATGAAGTATATTCAAATTTTATTCAAATAAAGCTTCTGACTGATTCCATATTGCTTTCTCTTGCAGCGCCGGGATATAATTACAGTTTGTCAGCAGCCATTGGAGAGAGTATTGATGACTGCAGAAGAATATCACAATATATTCCTTCATTATAGCAGGGGTGATCGCCTCATTACTTTAAAAAAGTGATCAATAAAATAAAATGCCTTACAACTTTGCGAACATTTGAAATATATTTAAATCTTAACGGGTAATGTTCTCCCGTATTCGTTATAGCATTTAACTGGCAGTAAAAAAAATAACGAACACACTATTAAAAGGACCAGGCATTGTGTAACTCACAGGTTAAGTAAATGTCAGTACCAAGTTATATTTAGGAAATGCTTTTTCTAATTGTAATTTGTGCCACAAAGATTTCTATTA